CAGTCGCTTAACCAACTGAGCCACCCAGGCGCCCCATAAATAAATAAAATCTTAAAAAAAAAAAAAAGATTGACAGTATCTTGTAATGCCAGTGGTTAAAAAAAAAAAAAAAAAGATTCTGGTCCCTCTTATGCTAAATGTCACACAGCCCATTTCCAATGACCCCTTCCTGCCTTCGTGGTAGTAATCCTATTGTCCCTGTCTTGACTGCAAGAAATTCTCCAGTCCGTTGTCTCCATGTTACTGCTCAGTGGATGGGAGCCCTGGGTGTGGATTCTGCTCCCCAACACTCAGGGGTAGGTATTAAATGTCATGTTTCTTTATGTTTCTATATCAGGTAACAAGCTCAGTGCCCTGGTACCTGGTTGGTGGGAAATTGAATAACAGGCATGATTTGGGGGCTGCTCATCTTCAGGGTTAGGGAAGACTCTGTAGCCTGGGGTTTGCGGGGTGGTGGTCAGCTAGTCTTCAGGTGACAGCCGTCACGGCTAGTATGTTCACTTTCTGCGGCCCTGAGGCCAGCCTTGCTAGAGTGGTGATGGGAGGGGGGACCTGCCCTGGGCGTTGACCCACACCCACTTTCTCCTGTGCCAAAGCCCTACTCCCTCCTTTTCCTCTCACCCCACAGTAGCCCTGGATGACCCACGGGGTACTGGTTAAAGGGCTTGTTTCTGCGGAGGGGGCCTGAGGGACGAAAGGGAAGTACATTTGTCACAGTATATTCCTTTATGTTTTCCAGATTTTTTACCAAACATTTTGTGTTTGTTCATCAAGGTGTTTTCAGAACATTTTTAAAATTAAAAATATTTAAAATGCTGGGGCGCCTGGGTGGCTCAGTCGGTTGACCGTCTGCCTTCAGCTCAGGTCCTGATCCCGGGGTCCTGGGATCGAGCCCCGCGTCGGGCTCCCTGCTCGGCAGGAAGCCTGCTTCTCCCTCCGCCACTCCCCCTGCTTGTGTTCCCTCTCTCGCTGTGTCTCTCTCTGTCAAATAAATCAATAAAATCTTTTAAAAATCTATTTAAAATGCTTTTTTTCCACAAAGTGCTTCTGCAGAGTCTGAAACCAGATCAGCAAGGGGGGGTGGTTATTATGGGATGGAGGGCCCTGCCTTTCGCGCCACTTTGGACTGGGTGCTGCTACCCCCACCACTTTAACGAACAAGGGAAAGGAAAACCCTTTGAGTTTCCATATCAAAATACAGCTGAATGCAGGGCGCCTGGCTGGCTCACTGGGTGGAGCAAGCGCCTCTGGATCTTGGGGTTGCGAGTTTGAGCCCCACTTGTAGAGATTCCTTAAAGATACTATCTTTAAAAACAAAAACAAAACTACAGCTGGCTGTATTAATGCTTCTGGATAACCTGCCTTTTTTGTTATCGATTTACCTGGTTTAACTCTCCCAGGTTCTGAGATGCCTCACCATCTACCCGCAATTACGACCTTGCTTGAAACACGTACCACACAAAACTTCCTGATCTTACCTCTACTGCCCCCCATTTTGTCCCCACCTCACACCAAATACACTGACCTTTTGGCTGTTTCCTGCCCATGCTGGGCTGTTTTGAGTTTCTTTACCTTTGCACCTTCTGTTTCCTTTGGCCATCATGTCTTTCCTCTCCTCTGTCCCACGTATGCATTCTGCCTGCAAGGTCGAACTAATGTCTTCCCAGGCAAATCTTCCTGGGCAGGTCCACGTTGGAAAGGATTCTCCCCCAGGCTCATGAGGGAAGCATGTCCCCTCCGTGGAACCCTCAGTCTCTCCTTATTCCCCTCAGGACCTGGCCGTCCAGATGAAGGTGGCCTCCTACACGTCACCTGGCGGAGAATGGAGGTGGCTTCGCTCTCTGCTTCTGCAACATTTCAGTGGAGGGTTTCCTGGAGTTGAGGGCTGTGGGCTGCTAAGTTAATTCCACAGCCAGTTTTCCAAGCCCCCTGACCTCTGACCTGGCCCATCAGTCCTGCTTAAAGGGGAGACAAGGGATTTCTGTGATACTCTGCACCTGCCCCCCACCACCCCAATTTCTGACTGGCTCCCCACCCCGTCTACTCCCCTCCAGTGATCTAGGGTGCTCAGAGCCTCCCCATTGTAGATCTGGCTCAGCCCTTCAGCCTCCCAACTCCTCCCAGGTGCTTTGTGTTCTCAGCCTTACTCTCCAGCCTGGAGCCTGCCGGTAGGGTTCTGGCTGATGGCTGGTGAGGAGTAGGAGAGAGTGAGGGGAAGCAGAGCCTGGAGGGAAGGGGGGGAATCCCACTGGAGAGGTGTGGGCAGGTGAGTTTCGCTTGCAGCCTCGTAGCCAGGGAAAAGGTTCCATCTGGAGGGTGGAGGAAGAACCCAAGGACAGTCCCTTTCTGTCCCAGTTCCTTCTTCCTCTTGCCTCCCGCCAGCTGTGTTATTTCCAAAACCTACCCTTCCTCCAACGTGGTTCCCCAACCCTGACCCTGAGGGTTTGATTTGGAACAAGAGGACAGAGGATTACGTGGGCCACTTAAAGTCCAGGTTCCTACTTCAGCCCCACCTCCCGAGTTTGGCCTGACCCCTGACCCCTCCAGCTCCACCCCCAACCATCTGCCCTTGGCTGCTTATCTTCAATGTGCCTCTTGCCCAGTGGCACCTCTCAGAGACCAGGAAACTCCAGAGACTCAAAGAGACGTCCTGCACCCAGGTCCTGTCTGTCTTTTGTCTTTCCATTTCCCATTCTGCATAATGATTCAGGAGCCTAAGGACCATCCAGGAGATTTAACTATGGCTATCTTCATTATTTTGTCCCTGTGTAGTGTGCTGGTGACAGCCATGGGTGATGGTGAGAGTGCGAAAGGAGTGGAGAGGGAATGTAAACCCGGCCAGGCTCCCCGCTGCCCCTCCGTGTCCCCCAGTGCCCAGCCCGGGACACACCCCGGCCAGAGCCAGCTGTTTGCAGACCTGAGCCGAGAGGAGCTGACGGCTGTGATGAGCTTCCTGACCCGGCAGCTAGGGCCAGGCCTGGTGGATGCAGCCCAGGCCCGCCCCTCGGACAACTGCGTCTTCTCGGTGGAGCTGCACCTGCCCCCCAAGGCCGCAGCCCTGGCCCACCTGGACAGGGGGAGCCCCCCACCTGCCCGGGAGGCACTGGCCATCGTCTTCTTTGGCGGACAACCCCAGCCCAACGTGAGTGAGCTGGTGGTGGGGCCACTGCCCCGGCCCTCCTACCTGCGGGACGTGACGGTGGAGCGTCACGGGGGCCCCCTGCCCTACCACCGCCGCCCCGTGCTGAGGCGAGAGTACCTGGACATAGACCAGCTGATCTTCGGCAGAGAGCTGCCCCAGGCTGCCGGGCTCCTGCACCACTGCTGCTTCTATAAGCGCTCAGGACAGAACCTGGTGACGGTGACCACGGCCCCCCGGGGCTTGCAGTCAGGGGACCGGGCCGCCTGGTTTGGCCTCTACTACAACATCTCAGGGGCTGGGTTCTTCCTGCACCCCGTGGGGTTGGAGCTGCTGGTAGACCACAAGGCTCTGGACCCTGCCCGCTGGGCCATCCAGAAGGTGTTCTTTCAAGGCCGCTACTATGAGAGTTTGGCCCAGCTGGAGGACCAGTTTGAGGCCGGCCTGGTGAACGTGGTGCTGATCCCAGACAATGGCACAGGTGGGTCCTGGTCCCTCAAGTCCCAGGGGCCTCCCGGTCCGGCTCCTCCTCTGCAAGTCCATCCCCAGGGCCCCCGCTTCAGTGTGCAGGGGAGCCGGGTGACCTCCTCGTTGTGGACTTTCTCCTTTGGCCTTGGAGCTTTCAGCGGCCCCAGGATCTTTGACATCCGCTTCCGGGGAGAACGACTAGCTTATGAGATCAGCCTCCAGGAGGCCTTGGCCGTCTATGGTGGAAATTCCCCTGCAGCAATGCTGACCCGCTATATCGATGGCAGCTTTGGCCTGGGCAAGTACTCCACTCCCCTGACCCGGGGGGTGGACTGCCCCTACCTGGCCACCTACGTGGACTGGCACTTCCTGCTGGAATCCCACACCCCCAAGACAACACGTGATGCCATTTGTGTGTTTGAACAGAACCAGGGCCTCCCCCTGAGGCGACACCACTCAAATTTCTACTCCCATTATTTTGGGGGCCTTGCAGAGACAGTGCTGGTGGTCCGATCTGTGTCGACCTTGCTCAATTATGACTACCTGTGGGATATGGTCTTCCATTCCAGTGGGGCCATAGAAGTCCGACTCCACATCACCGGCTACATCAGCTCAGCGTTCCTCTTTGGTGCCGCCCGAAGGTACGGGAACCAGGTTGGGGAGCAAACGCTGGGCACCGTCCATACCCACAGCGCCCACTTCAAGGTGGATCTGGATGTAGGAGGTAAGACATCCCTGGGGAAGCAAGGATTCCAGCAGAGGGGGCTGAGGTCTCCATGCCTAGCTTTAAGAATTATCACTGAAACATTAAAAATATAAAAGCATATGAAGTAAAGGTGAAAGTCGGATTCCACAGAGATTTTCATCCTTAGCAGATCGGTTATTCTTCCGTACTTAAAAATAAAATTCTTCCATATTTTTAAATATGGCATCTGCAATATTTAATAAATCATAACATTTGTTATATTGTATACCATCTGTAAATATGACATACTGATATAAGTATTTCAAATTTTTATTACCAAATTTGGATCATAACATACATATATTTTGCCACCTCTGTTTTTTCACATAACTACATATCACTCATGCAAGCAACAGTTACTGAATGCAGTTTTTCTTTTTTAGAGAGAGGGAGCAGGGGGAGGGGCAGAGGGAGAGAGAGAGAATCTTATGCCGGTTCTACACCAGGAACGGGGCCCAATGTGGAGCTCCATCTCATGACTCTGAGATCATGACCTGAACTGAAATCAAGAGTCAGACGCCTAGCTGACCGGCCACCCAGGCGGCCCATGAATGCATATTTACACCAATCACTGTGCTAATGCAATTTAACAAAAGAAACAACATCCCTACTCTCAGGAGGCTTACATTCTAATGGAGGAGCGGTGAACATGTGGAGTGCCTCGAAAAATGTGTATGATAGAAATACTTTTATGCTTAACTGCTCTGTGCCTCACTTTACCCAAGTGTAAAAATGGTGTAACAGTGCATTCTTAATAAGACTATTTGAGGATTAATGATGAGTACTTTAAAATGCTTTCTCTTTAAAAAAACAAACAAACAAAACTTCTTTCTTTCTTTCTTTCAATAATCTCTACACCCAGCATGGGACTCGAACTCACAACCCAGAGATTGAGAGTTGCATGCTTTTCCGACTGAGCCAGGCTGGTGGCCCAAAACACTTTCTCTTTTGAAATAATTTTAGACTTACGAAAAGTTGCAAACATTGTCCAGTTCCCATATACCCTTCACCCAGTTCCCCCTAATGTTAACATCTTACACAACCACAGTATGGCGATCAAAACCAGGAGATTAACATTATTACAGTACTATTAACTAAACTACAGACCTTATTAGAGTTTCATTAGTTCTTTCATTAACTTTCTTTTTCTGTTCCAGGATCTAATCCAGGACCCCACACTGCATTTAGGTAAATTTTCTCCTTAGTTTCCTCCAATCTATGACAGCTCCTTAGGCTTTTCTTGTCTTTCATGACCTTGACACTAAGGAAGATTTTGGTCATTATTTTATACAGCGTCTCTCAAATCGGATTTCTCTGTTATTTTCTCATGATTAGATTGAGATTGTACTTCTTTTTTTTTGCAAGAAAACCAGAGAAATGACATTATGCCCTTCTCAGTGCATCATATCAAGGGGTACATGAGGTTCAGATGTCTTATTACCAGAGATGTTGACCTCAAGAACTTGGTTAAGATGGTGTCTTCTGGCTTTCTCCATTGTACAAGTTACTACTTTTCCGGGGCACCTGGGTGGCTCAGTCAGTTAAGTGTCTGCCTTCAGCTTGGGTCATGAGCCCAGGGTCCTGGGATCAAGCCCCACTTCGGGCTCTCTGCTCAGCAGGAAGCCTGCTTCTCCCTCTCCCTCTGTCAGTCCTCCTGCTGTGCTCTCTCTCTCTGTGTCAAATAATCAAATAAATAAATAAATAAATAAATAAATAAATAAAATCTTTTTTAAAAAGTTAATATTTTTCCATTTGCAGTTAATAAATATCTTGGGGCAATTACTGTGATGCTATGCAAATATCCTATTTCTTTTCTTCTTAAATTCTTGCCCACTGATTTTTAGCATCTGTTGGTAGACTTTTTTTTTTTTTGCAAGAATTATTACTGAAATATTTCCCTACTGGTCATTTCAAATTTTTTTCTTTATTCTTTATACATTGATTAATTAGAATTCTCCAAAGGAAAAGTTATCGTCCTTTTACATTGATTTATACATGCAATTATTCATAACTGCATTGATTCATGGATATTTATTTTACCCTAAGGCTTACCACCCAGCAGTGTTATTTATTCTGTTCCTTGCACCGTTCCAGTATTGGCCCTTGGGAGATGCTTCCGGTTGGTTCTTGTGTCCTTTCGATATGCCTCCATCCTTTTTGGAGTGCTTCTTTCTTTTTGGCACCACAGGATGTTCCAATTTTTTTTTTATTCATTTGAGAGAGACAGAGCACAAGCAGGGGGAGAGGCAGAAGGAGAGGGAGAAGCAGAATCCCTGCTGAACAGGGAGCCTGACGCAGGGCTCAATCCCAGGACCCTGAGATCATGACCTGAGCCGAAGGCAGACGCCTAACTGCCTGAGCCATCCAGGCGCCCCAGGATATTCCAATTTGATCTTGTATTCTCCCTGCTCCAGCCCTGGAATCCAACCCCCTCTCCAAGGAGCTCTGGTTCCTTTTTACTGGAGGATACTCTTTAGAAACCAAGCCCAGGGTACCGGGAGTGCTCATTAGCACTGGGACATCATTGCTTTTAGGCTCGCTCATTGGACTTAGCTAGAAAAGATGCATATGTATTCCACCTGACACACACATCTCTCTTTATCTCTGTACCTAAGCGAGGATGTCTCTTCAAGCTCTTTGAACCGTGCCTGACAAGTAGTGAGAAGTATTAGCCATTGTTGCTGTCGTTGTTGTCCATATGAGCCCATTGTGTGGATGTTCCAGAAAGAACTGTTGGCCTTTAGTTGTTACCTACGGGTAGAAACCCTGGGGTGTGGATGGAGGGTCGGTGAATCCACAAAAGGAAAGCAAGAGCCTACTTCATCAGTCTCTGCTCTCTGCTGGTCCTTGGAAGGTACAGAGGGAGCTTTGGCTTGTGTTCGTTTACTGCTCGTTGGTCTCAGATCACTTAAGTTGACTCCTAGTAGGGTACCTAGTGAGATTCTGATAAAAGTCATTCAAAATTCCCAGAGTTCAAGGAACAGACTGTGCCTTTGGCCCTGTTCTTAATTCCTTGCCAAGCCCCAAATGATAGGAAGCACCACCAAGCTCCAGCAGCATCGGGCCCTGGCTCCGACTTTCCTTCCCTCTGGCCTGCACCGCAGCTGTCTGCATGGGATGCGCCCCCTCTGTGTGGTTCTCCTGCGTGTGCCGCTGCGTGGGCGGGTGCAGAGCCAGAGTAAGATCGGGGTCGCCAGCACCACCATGATGGTAACCACATGCCCTTGGTGACAAGCCAGAGCACATTACTTAAATCCTCTAAACCTCAGTTGTCCCATCTGTACAATGGGCACAAGTGTAGTTCCTCCTTCATAAGGCCGCAGTACAAGTAAAGCATCAGTGCTCTGCGGTGCAGAGCTCCTTGAGGAGTAGTGCAGGTGAGCGACCACTGTTCCTATGTTCATGATAAGGCAGTTCTGGTGATGCTATAGGGCTTCAGACATGAGGCATAGGGTCAGAAGGAATCCGACTCTGCACATCGCCTGCTAGGCTGCTCCAACTTCAGTTCAACCATCCTCCCTTGCAGGCCCTCAGAAGGAGGACATCAGTGGAAGCCCAGTCACAAGGCATCCAGCATTATTACCAGAGATGACATCAGGCAGAAAGACCTTCTCCAAATCTCTGGATCAGGGATATCTTGGGCAGGGGAAAGGGAAGCAGGGACACACTCCGTTCTGGGTTTCTCCTTGGCCCCACTCTGAAGCGGTGAGTGGCGGGGAGGCGACAGAGTCCAGAGGGCACAGGGCAGCTGCATGACCAGCCTCCACCTCCCCCCCCACCGCAGGACTGGAGAACTGGGTCTGGGCTGAGGACATGACCTATGTCCCCACGCCGGTGCCCTGGAGCCCCAAGCACCAGATGCAGAGGCTGCAGGTGACCCGGAAGCTGCTGGAGACCGAGGAGCAGGCCACCTTCCCCCTGGGAGGCGCCCCCCCCCCGCTACGTGTACCTGGCCAGCAATCACAGCAACAAGTGGGGTCACCCGCGGGGCTACCGCATCCAGCTGCTCAGCTTTGCTGGGGAGCCACTGCCGCAGAACAGCTCCTTGGAGAGAGCCTTCAGCTGGGGGAGGTGAGTGGCGGGGTGTCAGAGAGAAGCTGGGGGAGG